GGGGGGGGGGGGGGGGGGGGGGGGGAATAAATAACCAGGTATTCACTTTTTTCATTAAAATTATGGGAACAGGAGGTTTAGTAGTTTGTTTAAGTCAAAACATTTGTCTGGTTTTTTTGGATAAGGGTAGAGAGTGAGTGAGTTCCTATGTCGAATTAAAAAAAGGAAAAATAAAGATGATCGGGCCTGATAGCTATTTTTAGGAAGGGCATAAAGCGAATTTTACGTTGTTCCAAACTGGATCCGCTCATGTCTATTTTGTGATATCCAATTGGCTGAGTTACATAAAAGCTTCAATTTTTTTCAATACTTGCATTCCCTACATACCAAGAAAGGATCATTATGAAATCATAGGTACACTATTTGCTATGCATTAAGTTATTCTGTGTTTTGGCAGACTGTCAGAATGTTTGGGCAAGGCTATACTTTCATTATCTTAAAGAGGCTCTGCTCTGTCTCAGAGTTTACATCGTACCATTGATATATATAAATGCCAAACCAAACGTACATGATTTAGTAAATAATATAATATCGACTCTTGGAGAATTTGAGAGAAAAACTTAAAAATCAAAATTCCAGGATTAATCTCCTTTGAAGAATAATTAGCATGACAGTAAATTCACATAATTAACTTCTTTATCGGATAATGAGATCCAACGTCTTTTAAGTGTATTTCGAGTGAACTAAAGTTCTGTGTACCCCAATTGATGGATTCTACAACAGAATTCACTAGTCCAGCCGTAACAGTAATCGAAATTCAGTAGAAGAAATGACCAGACAAAATCCAATGGGGAGTCTCAGCAAATTTATTCCAGTTTACAATGTACATGTTTCGGCCTACTACAGTACGCTTCAGGTAATGGGGTTCTGAAACCCTGCGAGGGCGACAGTCGCCACCGAGGTAAAGGGGATTAAAGCCCCTCGGAGAAATCACCTGGGCAAAGTCGCGGGGGGATTAACTCGTCGATCGGACGCTACATTTGTAAATGAAACTTAGTTACTTATTTTCAAAAGTTCTGAAATTTAATTTATGCATATACAGGGATTAAAAACGATCCTCTGAAAACAAAAAACAGAGAAATGTTTGTAAATTTTAAAACATTCGAGTATTTGTGAGTATGCGTATATATATTCATATGTCATTGAACTTAAATTTTTAAAATTAGATCTAAAAGAAAATCCGATTTCCCTAAGATTCGGATCTGTGTCTATATTCATTTCATTACATCATCACTGCTATATGGGGCTATCATCATTAGCAGTTATAACAAAGTAAAGGATTGTCTACAGTCGAAAAGTATTCAACCTACTTAACTTGTGAAGCTGGTTAATGTCGAGAACACTCCTACCTGCGATGTTTGACTTTTCCTATTGAGTGACTTCCAGCGCTAGCATACCTATTGGTATCCATTCTCCAGCGATCCTACGTATATTGGACCAGCGTTGGCTCTTTCCCCCCCCCCCCCCCACTTTCAGTGATTTCTCCGATAATATAAAATGTTGCTTTCCATTCGCCTTTTAGGTTTGTCTGGTGATGCAAGAAAAATCAACTAGAATTAACTACTCCAAGCTTTAAAAAGCAATTTTGCTTCGAAACTAAACATAACAGAAGTGTTTTTCTGACTTTGATTAAAAATGAAGCTGTCTGTTACGTTGTCAGTATGTTAATGGAGTTCTCCTGGATAGACCTCGTTTATCTTGATTCGTCGTGTAAACAAAAATCTTTAAGTTATTTTTATACTGACAATTAAGCTGATCCTAGCTTTCTCCTTGTTTTCAGTGTTAAAGAAGACCACTGGTGTTTTCATTGAATCAAATTTTCACATAATTGCATCGGATTCTAATTGACTGTGTTAGTCTACATCCCACTTCAAGTTTGTGGTTGCTTGTGACCATGAGGTCTATTGCCCTCTTCTTCACCCTGTGTCATGCATAAAATGTACTCAATTGGACTTAAAATAGAGGAACATAACATTTTTCATAGGGGTGTACCTTTTGGTCAGGGGATAAAAAGTATCCAGGGGTTACATTTTGGTCGGGTGTATAAAAAGTATCTGGGAGGTGGGGAGTTGAAGAGAGGTTGGGTAATAACCATAACATAACTGTAAATGTTTCTTCATGACTCCCCAAACCTTATTGTGTCCAGTGATTGAAAATTATTCAGGCATAATTTCCTGACCCCGGGGATGGGGAATGGTGGGCTAGGGTTGGATTGATATTCCCCTATAATGTCCTGTTCAAGTTCTGAACTCAATTGGATTTAAAATAGAGAAATATAACTCTTTTTAATAGGGGGGCACTTTTTATGCGGGGGGGGGGGGGGGGGTACTTTTTATGCAGGTATAAAAAGTATCCGGATACTTTTTGGTAGGGGGGGACTTTTTATGCATGACACCAGAAAAAGAGACCTTATCTCAGGGAGTTAGAAACCTGCTATATCCCCCAAGCCCATACTTAAACTGTATACTCAACTATAACTATAGATAAGCTTGTGTGAAAATGTGTTACTTCATAGTATGTCTTATTAGATCGTGATGTAATTTTTGCTTAGTCTTGCATCATTTAATTGGGGTACTTGTAACAGGAAATGAAAAATGCATGCCAGACCGGGGTTTGAACACGTGACCCTCCGAACTCTAGACGGACGCTGTATTGATTGAGCTACCTGGTCACTGATGATCGACCAGTCAATTTCCACTATATATTCACCGTACAAGGTTGTACTGACTTGTACTGAGACAGATTAATAGATTCTTAGGACATTTAAGATGAACCTACAATTTACTGTAGAGTAAAGTAAGGAACGGTGTGATTTACAAGTTCAGAAGATCTTTTATACCTTGATTGTAAGTTGGGCAAACTTTGGTTTGTAAATCATGTGTTTTTTTATCTCCTTACTTTCTTATCGGTTGAACACATTTAAGACAAGACCTCTGATTTATAAATTTATTGACCCCCTTCAGTCAACCAAAATCGTGAAGTACCCTTCTTGAGCAGGTGACAGAGAATTGCACCTGTATCAATCTTGTTCATACAGGTGGCCAGTGAGGGCCATGTCGCTAAGAGGCCATCTGAAGTATCACTCCCAAACTAGTCAGTCTTATTTTAAAGTTAAAATGTAGATTGTATATATCTTAAGGACAGGTGTACAAAAGAGATTTTTTTTATATATTTACAAACATAATTTGGCATATCGATAGGAAGGTAAATATATTTCTTTAAAGAAAAAGATGTGAAGCAGACAAGATGACTTTGGCAGTTCACTCATCCTCAACTATTACATAATAAACTCCTCTTTTCATATAATAACAAAGCTCAGTCAGTGAAGAACCTTGCCATTAGCTGTTTGGTGTTCTGCCAACATGTGAAAATGGACTCTCCGCTTTCATTAGTTATTGTTGGTGAGTTTTTAGACAACTGGCAGCAGAACATGATATTAAAAGAGAATTTCATGTCAAGTTATAATTACATGATATTAAACAGGAGAAACTATGATATTAACAGAAATGTGACATTAACACATTCACCCCTGATATTTCATGATGAACTGTACCAACCTGTGAATTGGAAGAGTTCAATTGTGTCTTCAGGGGTGAATAAGTTAACTTGCATACACATCTGTAGCATTGTCTGTACACTGTAGCCAACTTTTATTTCTGTCTGTAAAGAAGTGTCTTTTACATGCATGGAGAGATATATATAGAACCATATGTCTTCAAGTCCTCTTGGAAGATCTGTCCTAGTAACAGTGATAGGACTACCGGTATATGGTGTACTGTCCTAGTTACAGTCACTATGGCCCAGGACCTGCAGCTTTGAGTCCTATCACCGTGATCGTCCTAGTAACCATCATTAGGACACAGGACTACCCTGGTAACAAACCCTGAAGACATGTGTTTATCTACATATAATCAACTCATTTACCCCTGAAATTTCATAATGAACTATTCCAACATTTGAATTGGAAGAGTTCAAATGTGTCTTCAGGGGTGAATGAGTTAAAGAGTTTGATTGATGTTGTATCTTCAAAAACAATGATAAATAAAATTTGCTTTATTTTATCCATTTCAGATTTGGATTTGGATTGTATCACCTGTCAGTGACAGAGATCAGAAATGAAGGACAAACTGATTGGTAGGTAACTCTTGTTGTTTAGATTGGATTCAATTATGACTAAGAATTAATTTACCAGGGATACGATTTGTTTGTGATTGTTTCTTTACATTGAAACCATGTGTTAACTCGTTCACCCATGAAATTTCATAATGAACTATTCCAACCTTTGAATTGGAGGAGTTCAAATGTGTCTTCAGGGGTGAATGACTTAAAAGATACATCAGTGATACAGCATTTGATATAGTGCCCTACCTACCTAGACATACAACTCTAAAGGGCTTTACAGTACCTAGACATACAGTTTATACGATCAATACAAGTGATTACAATAGTAATGATAACAGAACAAAGAAACACAGAGGTACAGATTTCAATTGTCGCAAGGAAATCCAGAGGCTGCTGGGAGTATGGAGTTCATATGCCATGACATATCTAATGATTTGAGCGTGAGACTCACAGAAATTGCTTCACAAACATTCTTCTTGGCATAGGACACATTTCTTATGAATTTCGATTCATCCTGGATGAATTTTGATAGCTTGTTGTTTTTTGTTCATGCAGACGACTGTTTCTGAGGTAGCATTGTTAGGGGACATCATTGAGTATCGAGTTCAGCATTTGTCTGACATTAAATTGATGGCCTATTTACAAGTAATAATAATAATGATAATTCGAGGTTCTTATACACCGCTTTATCACAACCTAGTTCGTAGGTCGTCTCAAAGTCGTTCATAAATTATTATCTGTGGTTATAGAGCCTTTGCAAACCCTGGGGAGCGTACAGCCAGTGCTTCCATTTCAGCGCTCACAGCTAGCATTCTACAATTCTAGCATTGCCCAACCATATGTACTCATTTACAGGAGTAAAGTATCTTGCTCAAATATATATACAACACAGTGCCTTGCCATTACTCGAACCCGCAACCGTTCGGTCACGAGCCTGGCGTCCTACCACTAGACTACCGTACCTCCCATGACACATTACAATAAAGTCACAAAATCTAGACTACCGTGCCTTCATCAGTGCAAAGAACAGAGACCTGCAACATTTAGTTGGCTTTCTATGAATGTAGAGATAATAACACAGTTAAAATAACTGTTTCAGGCAAGTGTTCAGTAGAAAAGGCAAGGGACACTCTCCCTTTACCCATCGACACCTAATAAGGTATTTGGACTGTTCCAAATCAAAGGATATCATAGTACATTGTTGAAATGCAGGGCTGAATAAGTTAAACACAACTAATCACTCATATACTCAAATAAACTATGGTATCCTAGATTCTCCAAATATTTACTGTAGACATCAGAAAAGATTATCGCTGTGACAGAAATTGTCCCTCTGACAATACTTTACCATTCATTCAACAAACCGTTTGAATTATAAACAAAATATTGTGTACTTTAAACTGCTAATAAACATCTTCAACTTGAGAGAAAATTTTAGTTCAAATTTCAAAAAAAAATACGCGGGGGAGCCATTTATGAAAACGAAATTCAAAGTTTTGCATCCGATTAAGTACATAATAAAGCAAGACCTATTCTTAGTCACTGAGCAGAATTGCACTTTGCACTTGTGCTGTTTTCAGTGTTAGGACATATACATCTGAGTTTTGTAAGCTAACATTGCTGAACCATATATTTGTTTGGTTATTTGTTTACTCAAACAATTTGTTGATCTGTGGCTTGATTACAGATTTCACAGATAATTTTCGTGATTTTGCTGTCAACAGTCACAATGTGCAATTTGAAATTCCTGTTTTGACATTTTTGTATTAGAAGTTAACGTTTTAAATGGTTTAATGTTGTTTTTATATCGTAAAATCTCGGATTCAGTCGAATGTGACAGAAAATGAACAAAATGTCGTGCAAGGTTGACTGGTTTAGTTTACCCTTCTATTGATGAGGGAGCCATTTTGTATTTGTGGTCCCTTACAGTAATCTGGGAACAAATCTAAAGAATTTTAAGTAATGAACTTACTAGGCTGTTGAACATTGGAAAGGATATCAACTTTCTTCTCCTTTCCCTCATCCTCGATATCCAGGGGTTACGCTCACTTTCGCTCTCTACACCCCTGGAATATATGTCATAACAAAATTGAAGGCAGGCAGCTAACTATTTGATTGGTGTCAGGTAAAAAAACCTTTAAAGATTACAGAAAAGCGACATCTGACCTCAAAGCTAGTAAGTTTTACCGTTAAGTGACCGCATGATTCTTTTGATGTACATCAAAGGATCCAGCTGGCCTTCTCGTCTCATCCACAAGGCGTTGCACACTGAGCCTTCAGTTTTGCTATGACATATTCCAGGGGTCCAGAGAGCGAAAGTGAGCGTAACCCCTGGATATCGAGGATGCCTTTCCCTAAGATTATCTCATTTAAACAGCCCCTTAAAAATTAGTGAAAGGAGCGCTAGGATTTTGTTTGAATTTTATATCCAGTAAAAGTACAAAGATATGAGAAAAGTTTTTACAGTAATCTCTTAACTGAATATCTAATACATCGTTTTGAAAGTCTATGGTAATTTTACGTTAAATGTTTCCTGTAAACATCTATATACAAATATACAAGAGTTATGTCCCTTCGACTATGTTGTATCTACCCCATAACCAATATATTTTTCTCATTGCAAAAATGGATTTACCAGGGGCTTTTCGACTTGGCAGAGCTTTATAGTATGTAGGTGGAGATTTCAAAACATCAACCACAGATCAAGATAAACCTTTTCTAAGGAGCTGATACCTTCTCTGATAAATACCTGGTTCTCTCAGTACATTTCTGAATGCTGTTCTTTAAAACTTCTCAGCTTAACGATACAATATCATAAAATTTGATTTTCAAAAACGTAAAATTATGAAAAATGAACAAAAAACAGAAACAGCAGTATTTTTTTTATTTTTGCTGATCGTTATCATTTTAAAAAAATGTCCTTTATTTTTCTGATGATTTAGCAAAAAGGATTTGAAAATAAAGATTGTATGGTATGAAGCTGCTAGGTTTACTTATGTCTCCAATCTATTCATGTTTAAATACATGTAGTCATATAGGTAGGCCTCCTGATAAAAAAATCCTGTGCACATAATTATCATATTAGTATATATAATTACCATAGCCAATCTTTACGAATCTGATAGAAATACTATTGATCCCAAGAAACAATGCACCTTATATACTTCGTACAAAAACCTTGCCCTTAGACAGCGACGGAACACGAACACAATCCCAGTGCCTACTCGGAAGACGACCCGTGACTCTGTTGTTCATTAGTTTATTTACTTGACGTCAGGGCATAGATAATTTGTATCAATGACGGTATCTATATTGTTTGGTCGTTTTAATATGTAGTTACTGGAAATGCTCATTACCGTAAACATTCCATAGGTTACTGTCTTGTGGTGTGTATGTGTATTGTGTTTTTAAAGGAGCAGCTCGTTTTGTCAGTTAACGTATATGTATACTGTTAAATATCCCTATAAAAAGACTTATGTAGATACTAAGTACTTCAGCAAAAGCTTTGGAGCCGACGACACAACAGTTTTCTTTTGATTTTCACGGCATGCAGACGACAGCAACCCTGACAAAAGCATAATACAAAAACAACATCAGGTACATTCAATTCAATGCTGTTTGATCTATAAAAATTATAAAACTGACAAAAAGCACTTCGGTTATACATTGGAGCACACCGCTACATGCAGTCGACAGCAATCCTGACAGGAACATAATGTACTTCATATACATCAGGTACAAATAGTTCAATGGGTACCAATGTATAAATGTTAAAATTCACAAAATGCATATAAACAAAAAAAAGGGGTAAAATGATAATAGGAGATGTTTTTTTGTTTAAATAGTCTCGTTCACTGTGGTACACCTTGTGCGTCACCAATATAACAGATTATCTCGTTACATCATGTCTGCAATATTGAACAGCCGGTGTAGGGGTATTGATATGGTATGTATCCTGAAGAGTTAATTATACTGTGAACCTCGGATTCCATGTCCATTGCTCGACCAATTGAACTAAAAGGAAATTCCATCTAGTTCGAAGCTAGAAGGTGACCGCAATCGTTAATACAATAAAAGTCTGCCACACTATTCCCCTTTTTTTAAATTGTTCACCTCAAACACCACGACGAGGTGGGGTCCAAATTTCCAGGGGGGGATTCCATGTGGGGAAAAAATGAGTAAAATGGTGAAAACACATGTTTTTTAAAGACAATTTTCAGGCTGGGGGGGTTTCCTGGGGGACTGTTGCTCTACCAGTTAAAGTAAAGGGACATTTCCTTTAGCACAATTAGAGCTGGAAGGTGACTTCATTCCTATGTGCCAAAACTTCTCCCCCCTTTTTAAATGTGTTCGTCCTCAAACACCACTACAACCCAGTCACCACAGGGAAGGCCACGGACAACATTTGTATATATGAGAAAAGATTGGTGATATCCCCCAAGGATTGAACCAGTGACCCTATAGCTTCCCAGTCTGCCACTCTAGCGATTAAGCTAAAAGGAAATTCCCTCTAGTGCAAAGTTAGAAGGCGACTATGTTCCCATCATGACCAATCGAAACAGCACAGATGTTATGAACAAAAATTGAACATGGTGTATGTTTTTTACAAGTTTACTCAAAGCGTTAATTCAACACCCTCAGCGGTTATAAATGTCTTCATTTAACGGCAGCTGAAAATTGAAATGTCACCTTTTTCAACAGATGTTCAAAACTAATAAAAAAAACATGTTTTCATAGGATATTTAAAAATAATAAGTATTCTTACCACCACGATGGAACTGACTTCCTTGCAGGGACATTGGGTCTCCACCTCCCAGTTATTAATACAGTAAAAAAAAATGTTGTAAAATGTTTGCTAATTATGTAAAAAAAATGATAAAAAAAAAAAAAAATGTAATTTTTTAAATAAATAGGTTTTTTTCAAAGTCCTGCTTAAGAATATAATAAGTAACAGTTGGTGGTCGCTAGGTTTATCCCCGACTACTCTCTTTCCTGTTACAAATGGTGAACCTAATTAGCTTATCAACTAACATGATTGGAAGTTTAATTTTATTAATAATTAATGAAAATCATATTTGGATTTTTTTTTTGATTTTTTTTTTTATTATTTAATGTCATTAATCTAGGAAGTAAATGGTTCTGGAATCTGGTATTTTTTTGACTGACGAAGATAAATAATAGTTCAACTTTAGGAATCACAGATTTGAACTTTCAAGTAGTAATAAACCTTAGAATAAAAAAATGAAAATGTAATAAATAAAAAAATAATGTTCGGGACTTTCAAATATATTTTGATACTTAGTGACTAAGTTTATCACTTCATTTTAAGATGTGTCATGTTTGTTTTTATAGATAATACGGTCTGAGACTTGACATATGGTATATAGGGTGTATAAGGCAGAATATAACCTTTAAAAAAGGTGGCTTCTGTTTTAGAGTGTTTCCAGCTCTATAAACTTGGCACAGACCCACGACAAAGGCCATCAGTGTTTAAAAGTCCTCCATTACCTTAAGGGGTGTGAACCTAATTAGCTGATCAATTAACATATTTGGACATTTATTTCAAAAAGAAAACATGGGATGAACTTTTGAAATTACCTACATAGTAAGTATGAAATTTTAAATCCATTTTTGAAAACTCAACAGATGGTAGAAGAATAATTTTAACACAGTTGTGACATTGGACTAAATGTTAAGCCATTGTTTCAAATGTACGCCATTTTATTTAATTGATTCCAGATCAGTGATGAGCCTTGATATATTGAACGATATGCCTCGTAAACGTTGGAATTTCAATTTAGGTTTTAGAATTTTAAGTTTTCTACCAATCATGTATTTCGATGAATTAGTCATAAAACTATTCTAGCTGATATAATTATACTTTACAAACTAATTACTGACGTGGAAGTAATGAGTTAATATGTTATGGCAACAGACAAGCTACCTGTAATTAACTTCCTGAATGAATCTGGAAACATAAAAACAACTAAATGAATTTACAATAGTATTACATGTAAGATAGTAAGAAAAATACAAAAATTCAACACAGTGATATATATATCCTTCAATCAAGGCAGGATAACATATTTATTGCTCAGTTCTCAAAAACAAAATCAGATATTTGTTTAGCTAATTAGAAACCTGTTTAAATATTAATAGTGAATACCTGTAAATTTTTCCAAATGCAAAATTTGAGTTTCTTAGGACGATTAAAAACAGGTGAAGATAGCTGAAATTGGTTGGATATGTCATTGACACTTTCAGAAACCGCGAAACATTCAGTGTGATCTAGATTGCTTTCGCCAGATACATTACAATATATACGCCTCTGCTTTCGCCTATCTGGTTCAACCGGTTTGTCTGTTTATAAACGTAACATTTTCTTGTATGAATCCTGTTGGACCTGCAGAAGTTAATGCAGACCTTGCAAGACTTTTGTCAAGGTTCGCCTGAAAGCAGCATCAAATTACTAGGTACAACCTTATTTTATAAACAAACAACTACGGTCTAAACGGATCCCCGTACCACTGCCAAAAACTAGCCATGTATTAGAAACTGTTTTTCCAGCAACACTTTATCGTTGATAAATTGATTTCTGAAAAGAAAACCATATCTTGCAGGACTTGAAAAATAAAGTTAAAAAGATCAAATATCATCAACAACAGTGTTGTGAGTGTAAAAGATTGAGCAGTGCTTGACCGGGATTCGAACCCAGGACCTCAGATTGTTATAGTGTCACACTGACTGAGCTACCTTAAGCTTGCCAATGGAAATGTGTTGGCCCAACTGTGCCACAGGTATATCCAAAACGAAATTCAGGGGAGGTTACTGTATATTGGAAAAAATCCACCATTCAGAGGGACAGGGATCCTTAAGAAGCCTAAAGGAGTTTTTCTTGCTAAGAGTTACTTCCCTTGGAAAAGTATTCAACTTTCGGTTTGACACTGTTCTGGATTACAACTTTGGTACAGTGGTTGGCAGTGGAAAGATCCTGGATCCAACTCCTGGTGTCTCTACTTTTCCTTTTTGTCTATATCATAATAATAATAATAATAATTTTATTCAGGTAAAAGGCATGTGTTACATGGTTAAAATGCATTTTTACACCATTTGGAATCACAGATAGTTTTGAATCACATGTAGTTCTAGTTACATTTATCATCAGTTTTTTACAAATGAATGAGTACAATAAAACATGAATACAATTAATGACAGTTATAATATAAAAGTTTTGAGTTTCAAATTTCCATAAAAAGTTTAACTGATCATGATAAGTCTTTACCCAGGATGGCCTATAAACATGTTTCTATATGTTTTGAACATTATGCAGAACAAGTTTGTTGAAAATGTCTTAATTAAATAATTCAGGATAGTCCCATTGGTATTAAAATATTTCAATATGATGGTACTCTTTATCTGAACTTGCCAAAGCTGTTTGAGTTCCTGCCAAGCTTTAGGTGAAAATGAATATCTACACAGGTAAAAGATAAGAAGTCACAGCCAGCAAACAGAAAATGAACATCTACACAGGTAAAAGATAAGAAGTCACAGCCAGCAAACAGAAAATCAACATCTACACAGATAGCAGAATACACAATAGACAAACATACAGTACAGGTGAAAATCAACATATTATAAATACAGGGAATTATAAGGACACAACAGATAGAGTTACTATCAACAACCTTGTATAAGTACTAGTGTTAGGCAGGGTTAAGACTGACCTTGACTAGTACCAGGTATAAGTTGGTAAGAAGATTATAGAAAATACTTTGAAAGTTTAAAATACTTCGGTATCAGGAAGGCTTGAATTAAATAGGAAGATATTCATAAATATTTTTGGAATTTTAGAGAAAGTTATGAACATACTAAATCTTTGGCATTTTTAACATGGCTTTTGTATATATATGACATTACCTTCAAGGAGTGTAAAATAAACTGAAGATATACATTGTTTGTACTTAAGTGTGACATATGCACCTCTTTTGCAAAAGAGTTCCATTTTACAGGATCCGATAAAAAAACATGATCAGTAATCACTTTAACAATGGCTTCATTGAAAGGTCAATAAGAATATTATGGTGATTGTAAGCCAATTTTTGTTTCACAGTTTAACTATATCAATATGTTGTAAAGCGCTTTAGAGTCATTTTACAAATTATATAGGGCGCTATATAAATGTTGTACATTATTATTATTAACACCAAAACACTCTGAAACTTTTTTTTTTTTTTATCTGTGGAGAGATTTTTTAAGGAAGTCATCACTCTTACCAAAGTCAAAGGTCATAATATATACTATAGTTTATATCCTTATTTTGTTTTAGAGATTTTTTAAAGGAATTTATAGTATTCATGGACACTTTCTGTTTCATTTATCTAGAAAATGCTCCATATTTTTGCTGAGAATAATTGTTACTTAAAAGGTTTCAATAATAGGATGTATAACATTTTTGTCATGTATATGAACAAATGATGATATACCTACATTTCATAAGATATGTATCAAGATTTAATCTGTAATGAGAGACCGCCTGCTTTATGAGACCAGTTTTCTTTAGAGGCCATTTTTATGGCTGGACCATTTGTTATGGGATACTTAATGGAAATCTTAAGTACAAGAAAGCATAAATAAGTTCTGTTTGTAATTCTGTCTTTTCAGGTTGAGAAGCTGTGACCTATATTAGGGACGGCAAACTTTTGAAGGTCAGGTCTGCTGATGACCTCACGTGTTGGTGGTGAAGAAAAATGTGTAAACCAGATTCACAACCAGGATGACCCAAAAGGTCAAGGTCATATCAACATTTCCAAGGTCACTGACTCTACAGTTCAGGGTCAAGAATGCCCTGTTATTCGGGATGGCGCCAAGGTAGATAGTGGGGGTGTGATTTCTATCAAACATCGACCTCCCAGGGGTCGGTGCCGAAAAAGCATGACCCAGGAAAGGGGAGACAGCCTTATCGAAATGCATGACAGAAACGGTAAACCTAGCAACTTAGGACAACAGTGTGAGGACAAGGAGAATATGGGAGATTCGGAGGACCAAGAAGACCACGACATGATGGACAATCTGCCGCTTCTCGCCTCCACAGCACAAGCTGTGGATAATGTGAGATCAGATACTCCCATAGTTCAGGGTGTTTTCTCTCGCAAAATTGTTGCCAAAGCGAGCAAAAACGTCAGACAATTAAAACACTTGAATGACAGCGAACTCAGCAATGGTGATGACATGTCTGAGAAAGGTAGAGTGCATCGGACGAATTCACGCAAGAATAGTCTGTCGCGTGTACCAGTTTCATCACGATTTGACGTACTTCTCAGTAATAATCTGTTCCAAAAATATCTCGGACAAGATCAGGAGGACATCCTCGATCGGATTTATAAGAACCGGGGAGGAGTTTTCAGTGGTGGAATGCGTAAAGCTTATTCTAATATAGATCTCACCAGTATAGATTTATCACAAACATTCGAAAACCCACTCAGTAATAATGGTAAGTCTGCTTCATTTTCTACTGCAGACAAGCGCAATGAAAATCGAGGTAGTCATGGCAACGACCAAGGTCATGGAAAGGATCAAGGTCAACAAAGACGGAGACGTGTGTCGATAAGTAGTGGACAGGAAGTTCAAGGTATTGTCGACGAACTCTCCGGTACAAAAAAGGAAGTAACCATTAACGGACAAAGAACAGTGACAGGTATTTCTAGTCGAGGTAAACGGCAGAAATTTAATGTGCCAAGTTTTTCTGAATTTAGAAAACAGCGGCAAATGCGCATAGCGAGTGGCCATCAGTATGCCAAGGAAGCAAAGTGTTTGTTAAACAATAACCAGAGCGCAGTTCATCTACCAGAAGTGACGTCTCGAAGCCTGGCAGAAGCTTCCGTTCTGGTCACTGCAATCTCAGATGAAAAATCTGATTCTAATGACCAGTTACAATCAATTAATGAGGACGAACACAAATTGTCAGGAAACACCGGTGAACCACCTAAAAGCCTGTCACAAGAGATGCAGGTCTTTCAAAGTAATGAACAAGTTGATTCATGTGCTGTTGAGAATGGAAATTCAGTTCTTAAGAAAGAGGATTTAATTCCAGAACAAATTGAATTAAGAGAGACAAATTCAGCATTAGGTCCTGGAGAAACGGGTGAAATACCATCATTAGACGTGCGTGATTCAGGGGAGGTTACTTCTGATTTAAGTGATTCAGGTATACCTTTGGATAGGCCTGACTCTGAAGAAATAAATTCTGTGACATCATTTAGCGATGAAGGTAAAAGTGAAGGGAAAATTACATGTGATTCCCTCCCCAGTGAGGAAGGAGGGATTGAGAATGTGTCGAGTCAGAATAATTCAGGGGATGTTACCTGTGTTTCTGTTTCCAGAGCGGAAAAGGAGAATGAAAGTGTGACAAGTCGACACCATTCAGGGGAAGTAACTTGCGTTTCCCTCCCAAAAGAGGAAAAAGGGACTGAAAGTGTGTCAAGTCGACATAATTCAGGGGAGGTAACTTGCGTTTCCCACCCTGGAGAGAAAGAGGGAACTCAAAGTGCGTCAAGTCGACATGATTCAGGGGAGGTAATTAGTGCTTCCATCCCCAGAGAGGGAGGAGGAAATCCTAGTGAGTCCAGTAGACATAATTCAGGGGAGATAACTAGTGCTATACCAACAGAGACAGTAAGCGACAGTCATATACCAAAGGAGGTTGTTCTTGCACTAATGGGTAGTTCAATGGAAACACAGATGTCAGACGAAGTTTTTGATGAAGATGAGGATAATTCTGATTTGTTATCCAGTAAAAAACCTCCAATAGATATCTGTCTCCAAGGGAATGACTCTGAGGAATGTGACCTTGTCAGGCATGACCTCGACCTTGGAGAAAGTGACACGCTAGTGCTAGAAGATTTGGATGTCCCAACCACGAAACATATGTGCAATATAAGTTCTTATGATGAACCCTGTATGTCAAGTCCGTCAAGTAGCACAAAGGACACTTGTGGAACGTTTACTTTTAATTCCTTCGAACATGAAACATCTGAAGTGAAAAACAATTTCATCACTTTAGAAATTCCTTCCGAGTCAAACACAGATGACGTTGATTTATCTGATACAGGACCAGCTTGTGACAGAGATTGTGGTCTGTTACCAGAGATAAAGAATTACGATGTAGTTGGCTCGGAAACACTCAACAGTGAAACACATGTTGCAGAAACTACAGTCACAGAGACATTGGGCATGCCTGAGACACAAAACAGTCTGGACAATTGTCCTGGAGGTCAAGATGGAAATGAGGCTTCGGTCATTCAAGGAATCACTGACCAGTTTGACAAGCCACAAAGTATATTGGATGTCAGTGAGGGTCAGAATCCAGATAAAGAAGAGAACATATCGTGTAAACCTCCGAGCCCCGAAAAACCAAAAGTTCTTCCCCGAATACCAAAACGCCAGACAAAACCTGACATTGCTCCTCGACCTGTTCCAAGATCTAGGCCAATCAATGACCCCTCAAGGTCACAAGTTGTTCAGACTGGAATACGGCCACGAAAAAGAAAGCTGCCCACACGTCCGCCAAGGGTTTCTCGAACAAAGAGTGACTTTGATCTCAAATCTACGTTAAAGGAATCCACATCAGTTTTGATGATGTCACGGTCTCTGGATAATGAGCAGCCATTACTGGAACAGGAAGTGAAACCATCTAGTCCTAAAAGAAATGACAGTTCCGACCCCCCTACTCCGCCTTTACCCTCTAACCCCCCTCCCACATTCCTTATTCCGTCATTGCCAGACAGTGAACCTCCCACGCTTTGTTCGCAATCTGATGATTACAATGATGTGGCAAAATCTCCAACACCACAGGGTCAAATAGGAACATCCAGTGTTCCATTTTCGCCCAAGTCACTAAATGAAACGGGACCAATTCATGTCCTCAACCTTTCTAATTCAGACAATAATAGTCCTAGTGATGACGGCACTTTCTACTTCCCGGAAAATCCTTTTTTCTCTGACACACCAAGTCCATTTAATTTTTCATCAATGACCTCCCCTGACCAACATGTGGGTCCAATTTTTGTGTTTCCCGAACCGCTGTTGAACTCTCCTCTGTCAGACCAGGAAGAAACAGCGACTCAAGGTTCAGGTAACCCCAGTGACCAGTCCTTTATGTCGACGTCCGAGTCAGTTACATCTGACACAAGCAACAAACCGTTGTCATGGCTTCCAACCAGTATCGATAATATCTACAGATCGTGTGACAATGTCCAACAATCAGAAAGCGAGATAGACTTGACGGATCCTGACTCTGCCACCACGTTGGACTCTACTAAGGTAAGACATTCCCCAGACCCCTAAACTCCAACTCCATTACCCCACACCCTCATCCCTTCCATCCACTAGCTTAATTGTCAGCTTGTCAGCTTTCTGTTATTTGAACTCCTTGACAAACCCCTTGACTACCCAGGAAATTCTTCTGAACCTGCAGAAATAGTTCTTGATAAGTTTATTCGCTTGTTTGTTTGGGGTTTAACGCCCTCACAAAAGCCAGGGTCATATGAGGACGGGTCTTGATAAGTTAATGCGGGTTAAAGACTCAGTTATTTATGTCTCCCGTATGCCAATTGTAGGTATACTTTGTGTTAGGTTTTGGATGGAAGATTAACCCATAAAGCAGTCAAATTAAATTCCTGTGATATCATATTAGAGACTAGGATCAATTACTTATCATTTTATCTTTCAAGTATGATTTTATGCAGTCAAAGTTGACAGTTACATTCAGATTATTTCAAATTTTTGTTGATTCAGAACCTGAATGTTTACCGCTCCTCATCTGACGTATCACACAGTACTCCTGAAGCATTGCAGAAACGGCGGGAACGCAAGGAGCGGCCCTACAAAAGTGATCCATTTACAGGAGGCATGAGACCTCCAGGACAATTCATTAGTAAGTAAATCACCATAGCAACCATTGCCATTTTAGTATAGTCCCATGACAGCCAGTGTATTGCCATAGTTGTTTTACATGTTTCTCCATAGCAACCATTTATAAGATCATACATTTCCCTGGCAACCTTTTCTATGTAAGAACAGCTCCATGTCAACAATGAGATCATCACATCTTATCAGTAACCATAGACAACACAGTTGGAAACCTTTACATGATCTCTTGTCAAGTTAGCATGTTTCTATAGTGACATAATATTATAATAATACATCTCTCTAATGACATCATTTAAGTTAGCTTGATATTGGTTATTCAGACGTTTTTTTAAAAAGATTTTAACACATTTGACCCCAGTGACCTAGAAAGTAGGTTAGCTTAACTGCCCTGAGGACAGTTTAGCTCACGTGATGATGCTGTGTCTATCATCTGTCCATCAAATGTTAACATTTTACTTTACACAGTTACACTTCCAGATAACTGAAAGGTCATGATGTTTGGCCTGTAGCATTCTGGAATCAATGGCCTTGACCTACTTTCTAGGTCACTGAGGTCAAATGTGTTATTTTTTTTCTAAAAAAACGTCCGAATAACCAATATCAGGTAGTCCTGATGATGTTTGACCAGTAGCTGGAATGAGAGGGTGTCTAATTTCTTCCAATTAATCACCTTAAACCACATGCAAAGTCACAGGGGTCAAAAGTGCTACAATTTTTAAACATCTTCATCTGAATAACAAAGAGAGGCCTAGGTTTATGATTATCGGCCTGTTGTATTCAGGTATACAGGGCTATCAAGTTTGTTCAAATTAATGACCTTGACCCACTTTCAATGATTGTATCTCCAGTAATAAATTATTAATAATTAGTTATGTGTGAACAGCTAATACTAATGAATAAAGAGAAAGACAAGGATGCTTCGAAGAAATTTCAAAAATCAGTAAAGTGCAAAAGTATTGACATTTCTTGATTAGTGTTGGATATAGTTGTACCTCACTTTGTTAAAATAAAACGGAGGGGAGGTCAATCCAGGAGTTCCATGTTGTAAACAATGGTTTCTAAACATCCTTTTTGGGAAGTTTGATAACGAGGTATCAGAGATTTTACCACAACATGCATTTAGTATGGTGGTCTGTGATTTTTTAGATTGGTTAAGGCTCAGAATTCAGATTAGTTTCAGTATCAATCCTAATTTAGCATACAAGGCCCTCTACATGCCTGGAAATTACGATTTTTGTCATCCTGGGAAAAACTGAATTCAGAATCACTAATGCTTTTGTTTTTGAACACTTCTTTTAGGGCGTCAACGAGGTCTACCTTCTGATGATGGATTCACGGATGACTGGATTGATGAAATGGATGAATCTGAGGTATGTCATTACTAACACCTATCCAGCCTCACTGTCGACTGAGGCTTATTGAATTGCTTCTGATCTGAAATTTAGTGAGAACAATGCTTGATACGCGCAATAAGATTTTAGTACCATGATCTAGACTTCTCAAAGTAATATATTGATTTGAAGAATTTTGTGTTGTCAGGGAATTAAGGTTAAGAGTACCGTTGCATTTTTATAATCTCACAGAAGAGTTCCACTCAGGGTTAATTTTTACTTGGAGTAGTCTCCCTTCTATATAGAAGATTAAGCAGCAAAAAGGAGTATTCTGGCTTAGAGTGATTTCCCCTATCAATTTTTTGTTTACATTGCGGCCCATAAATTGGACACCTACTAGTATTTGATATGATGGTTCCTAATTTGACCCCTACAGTTTTGTATTTTTTCTTTTTTTGTCTCTATTTTCGAATATTCAGATTGAGAAAAACTACCATTCTGTAAAATGCATGACAACATATGATTAATTGACAATGTAGATGATTAACTCTTTCACCACTGTAGACCATAATGGACTCGTCCAGATCAATGCGTGGTAGAGTCTACTAAAGTTACCTAGGGGTGAAAGGGTTCAAGACATAGTCTAACTGGTTGTTACTTTACCTTAAGATTGCCTCAACAGGTCAAAGACAGATTTTAATTGTTCTGGGGGGAAAAGGCAATTGAGGACAGAAAGATTTCAAATAAATGGATTTAAGAAAGGCATATAATTCTACACATATAGAAACTAAAACAGCATCGTGTTTCTTCATTTTGGTAAGATATATGCTATGTATTAAATGATAGTTGATCTCGGCACACTAATAATGAGCGTATTGTTTTCAGCAGTTTGCAAAATCTGTCCGAAGCATTCGAAACCTTAAACTTATTGCAAAAATTGGTTTTCAAATACAATTTTTCATTCAGAAAACAAGTTTATCAAATAAAGAAAGTTAAACAGCATTACATGTTCTCATGGGTTTATTTTCCATGATTAGGCAGTTACCCTGGCCGAAACAGAAGCAGAGCGGGACCGAAAGCGTCGAGTCAGACTGAGCGTGGTCAGTGATGCAAGCACAGACAGTGGGGTCATAGGTCAAGAAGGGTCACAGGAAGTACCGCCAAGTCCAACAGGAAGTAGTGGTTCCTATGGTTTTGTCACCAAAATGGGAGACAACTCTGGATTATCACTAATGGAGCCCAATGTAAGTGAATAATTATATCTCGTTATTAGAGTTAGCTTCATGTTTGCTGTGAATTTTCCAAAATTATATTTGAATTCAAATATCAAGTTTCTGTGATAGCCTTGAAGTTCATGTCATGATTTCATGCATGCATATATCCCCTTGATAATTAAAAATATTGTAAATAAAAAATAAGATTACAGATAAAGACCCTGTCTTAAGCCACAAACTTAAGGAGTAGCCTCTGAGGTAAAAAAAAAAAATAAAAAAAATTTGATACTGCAGGCCTACATACCAAGAAAAATGAAGAGATATTCATAAGCAAAAAATAAAGAATTTTGTAAGCCATGAACTGCATGTCGGGGAAATAAGGAAAATAAAGAATCTCCCATAAGTCATGAACTTCAGGTCAAGGAAATAAGGAAAATATAGAAATTCTCAAAAGCTATGAACTGCAGGTCATCAGGAATCGAGGAAAATAAAATCATACTCATAACCCATGAACTGCAGGTTTTTGTAGTGAGAAAATAATAAAATGTTGTTGACCATGAACTGTAGGTCTTTGTAGTGAGAAAATAAAAAAATCTTGTTGACCATGAAATGCAGGTCTTTGTAGTGAAAAAATAACAAAATCTTGTTGACCATGAACTGCAGGTCTTTGTACTGAGAAAAATAACAAAATCTTTTTGACCATCAACTGCAGGTCTTTGTACTGAGAAAATAACAAAATCTTGTTGACCATGAGCTGCAGGTTTTTGTACTGAGAAATTATCAAACTTTTGTTGACCATGAACTGCAGGTTTTTGTACTGAGAAAATAACAAAATCTTGTTGACCATGGACTGCGGGTCTTGTACTGTGAAATTATCAAAATTTTGTTGACCATGAACTACAGGTCTTTGTACTGAGAAAATAACAAAATCTTTTTGACCATGAACTGCAGGTTTTTGTACTGAGAAATTATCAAAATCTTGTTGACCATAAACTGCAGGTCTTTGTAGTGAGAACATAACAAAATCTTGTTGACCATGAACTGAAGGTCTTTGTAGTGAGAAAATAACAAAATCTTGTTGACCATAAACTGCAGGTCTTTGTAGTGAGAAAATAACAAAATCTTGTTGACCATCAACTGCAGGAACTGAGAAAAATAAGAACCTTTCACAACGGCAATGCTAGAAACTGTGGAAAACACAGAGCATCTCATAATCCATGAACTGCAGGTCTATGTACAGAGGAAAATAGACTTTTTTGACCAATGAACTTGAAATCTAAGTTATGGGTTAAATAACGGAAGTGTTTTCTAACCATCTTGGTTCTTAAAAATATGATGAACAATCAGTTCAGACATCATTATCATCAGTCTAAAGAAACTACAGTAATTTACTAAATCTACACTCCATATTATTAAGGATGTTAACCCTTTAACCCCTATGTAACTTTAGTAGACTCTAGCCTCTGCCATGCATTGATCTGGATGAGTCCATTATGGTCTACAGTGGTGAAAGGGCCAATATATTATCTAAGGTATCCGTGTGACCATGTCGAGCTGTGGTTGGTTAAGACACGGAAGGTATTAAGTACCTATCATAATTAATCAACCATGTTAGGGAAAGTCAACACTGCAATGTCAACACCTCAAAATCAACGGCCTCCATTATCACTTTAATCTAGTGGCTATATTTCACAGATATGGTAACACGTTAATTTCTCGATGTCAGCTCAAGAGACTGAGATTACAATCCATGACGTCAGAACGGAGAGCGTTCTAATTTACCTAAAGCCTTGTCATCACAAATCTAGCCTCAAACGTGGACAATTTTGGCATTTCTTATAACTTCCGTCTATTTGGGATCAATATAACAAGCAGTTTCTTTTGATTCAGTTTTTTTGCGAAATAAATGATAAAATGTATTATTAGCATCGTTAGATTAAATCATCAGGCATGTAGATATGTATCAGCTGAATCTCGTATAACATTTTTTTTTTCCCCTTTATTTGTGACGCCACATCATGGGTCATTTGTTTACTCTTGACAAACAATCGCCTTGATGAGAGGATTATTATTAGCGGAGGTGTAATAATATTAGTTCCAATAAAAGGTATAGGCATTACAGAATAGATAAACTTTGGGAGTTCTTTATCTAGTTGTATCAAAATTCATGAACGTCGTTATATATTAAGCCAAATTTTCAAATTTATGTTTCTTGTATTAAATATGTGCAGAAACATGAGTGAATTGGTTTATTTTGTCTGAAGGTAATCACTTTGAAACTGAGGACAGGAATACTTTGATTGCAGTTTTAAAAGCTACAACAATATTCTTGATTCTGATAAAGTATGCAACAATTATATGATGCAACTAAACAAAAAACACCAAGATCCAGAACTTAGTGCTAGCTAATAATGTTCCCTACCACACCAATCTCGACTTTTTTTTTGGGGGGGGGGGATAGGAGGGGGATATAAAATTAAATATATCTTTTACTGTCTTTATCTTGTTTCTGTATTATACCTGAATCAATGCTGTAACTAATTGTAGACTATAACTGATCGGCTCCCCACCTGTTTACACAGTCGAACCATTGATTTAGTTTAGATTCCTATTGGGCCCACAACCCACCAATCCGACACCATTCTCGTTCAGATAATTTATATGATAATTAAAGGTTCTAATATACCGTTTTTATCACAACCTAGTTCGTAGGTCGTCTCAAAGCGGTTTACAAATTTTGATATCCGTGGTTATAGGGCCTTTGCAACCAGCCAATATCTTTCTCAACTCCCTGGGGAGCATACAGGCGGTGCTGCCATTTCGACGCTCACAGCTAGCATTCAACAATTCTAGCACTGCCCAACCACATACTCATTTACAGCTGAGTAGACTGGAACAAACGGAGTAAAGTATCTTGCTCAAAGATACAACAAAGTGCCATGACATGACTCGAACCCACAACCCTTCGGTCACTAGCCTGGCATCCTACCACTAGACTACCGTGCCTCTACATACTAGCTATGGCCACTGATTTGTTAAAAAACAAACTTTTTTCTCATAATTTCCAACAAATCCAAACATTAGTTTGCTTGGTCAATTGGTTACACCGTACACTTTAATTTCACCCCTGTAGATCATAATGTTACTCATCCTCGTCAAAGCATGGTAGAGTCTTCTGAAGTTACATAAGGGTGAAAGGGGTATTCACTAGTTTTATCCTTTTTATAGAAGATTACAATTTCAGAAACTTCATGTTATCTGTAATAAAAGGTGATGTGACAAGTAACTTACTAAAGATACACCTGAACCACACACAAGGATAATTAAATAGCAGCACTGTTGTTGGTGCCAGGGCATTCAGAAATATTGGATTTTTTCTTTTAAAAATAAGGGAGACAACTATTGAAATAAAAATAACAGCATAATGTAAAAAGCAGCATATTTTCTCAATCTCAAATAGTTCTAGGCTCGACAGCACATATTTATCATACGTATGTTATAAGCACGGATGTTAACAATGCAATCATGTTTGCATATTATAACAAAATGAATATTTACCACATTTCACCTATTATGTGCTCCACCCCTTAATTATATGTACCCCCTAACCTTTTTTTCAATGTAATGACTTGCTTGAAAAAAGTCTACTGGGGTTATTTCTGAGATTTTAGAAAGTTCTGTAATTATGCTTATTTCTCCGAAACATCAAGTGCACAGGGGCTTAGTAGCTAGGTTAGATAGGGTAGTTTACAAAACATTCGGATCCTCTTTATACAGTAACACATCCAGAAATTCTTTCAACCATTTGTGGTAAACTGATGATATTACTATCAAAGATTTATGCTTCAATACTCTGACATATGTCTTTTCTGGAGGAGTTCTGTATCAACAATCTCTGTAAGATATAATTATTGAATGTTATGAAATGTTCACACATTTTAAATGAACACAATTACAGGTGTATGTATGCATGCATGGATAGCATTCTAAAATTCTAAATTAATTTTAAATAGATAATGGTTATTTTAAAACCTCTAAAAGGAAGATAACTCTAATTGCACTTTAATTCTTATTCATTTTAATTAGATAATGTTAATTAAATCTTTTGGAAGGGAGCATACTTGCCAACTTTTTGAAATTTCCATGGGGGAGATTCTGCATGTTCAAAATTAAAACATAAATAAAATGTGTGTATTTACTCCATAGGGATACAATAAACCTTCAAAATGACATATTTTGAGGTGTCCTTTAAGATGAGATTATGAGATCTTAAAATATAGCATCCTCCATATCCAGGGGTTATGCTCACTTTTGCTCTCTGCAACCCTGGAATATATCATGGCAAAATTGAAGGCATGAAAAAAGCTGTTTGATTGGTCTCAGGAAAAAAATACTGACCAATCGCTAGGCTGATGCCTGTCCTTTGAAGATTACGAGATGAAGAGACGCCCAACTTCAAAGCCTGTCATTTTTTACCATTACGTGACTTTGAGATTCTTTTGATGTATATCAAAGGATCAAACTAGTCTTCTAGTCTCATTGACAAGGTGGTGCACACTGAGCCTTCAATTTTGCTTTGACATATCCCAGGGGTGTAGAGAGGGAAAGTGAGTGTAACCCCTGGAGTAACGAGGATGAGTGTATAGGTATAGTTTAGAAAACTCTATGGCTGAAACTACCAAATTTAACAGTCCAGAATCAGGAGTTTCCCTCCTAAATAGGGAGAGTTGGCAAGATCTAACGGTGATATAATGTTTAAGGTAGCACATATCCTTAAGCAAATTAACTTTAGAAATGATGTAACTACCTTCCTCCATGATTCAGTGGAATTCATGGTGTAAACAGGGTATCATCTCCCCTGAACTACTTCTAAGCTTATCAATAGTAGATGAAACTCATTGTGACTCTTTGAAGATGACTTCTATAGGAATACATTATGATCTCTAATGGTGGAATTGATAAAATTTGAATGTTTTGTTCGTAATTGTTAAAAACTATTAAAAACAACTTTTGTATGAGTAATAACTATA